GCCCGTGTTGGCAGCCGCTCTCGCAGCCACTTTCCCGCCTCATTGGCTCCCAAATGTATTTTAAATATCACTCTGCGCAGAGACAATTACTGAAAACGCTGAGCTCACACTGTTGATGGGCCCGGGCGGCCAGGCTCATTCCTCACCCACCACCATGCCATGCCCCCCACCTCCCCCCAAGGCCTGACCCTGGCCTCCCCTCTGCCCGCTCTTGCCTCCCGGGGGCCCTGCTCTCCAAACCCTCAAGTCTGACCTCCACTCCCCTGCGGTGCCCTCTGGACCCTCCCTCCTTCCGAAGCCCCCAAGCCTCCGGGAAGAGCCACCCCAGGCTTTGTCTCTGATCCCTTTGGGGCCCCGGCCCCTCCCCGACTCCCTTTATCAGGAGGCCTTCACAGCCTCTGCACATTGCAAAGCCCACTCTCAGGAAGCCTCACCCCCACCGGGGCCTTCCTTTCCTAAGTCAGCAGAGACTAGCCCGATGCAAGATCCATCAGAGAGCAGAGGCCTCTCAAGGAGTGGGGCCTGCTCACCCTGCCTGTCCACACACGCTGGGGGCTGCCCCTGTAACCACCCACACTGCCCCACCGGGCACACCCTTTCCCATGTACACGGGTAACACTCAGCACTAGTCCCTGCATAGCAGAGGAGAAGCCAGTCTGGGCCCCCGCAGAACAAGTGGGGGAGGCTGTGGCCCGAAACACTGTGCTGTGGAAGGGATGTGGCCCCCATCCCAACTTGGCCCTCACGGTTCTCCCAGAGGCTGCAAGAGCCTGGGGCGGGGAGGGAGGCGATGCTCCCACTAGCCCTGTGGCCTCCTCCCTCTGCTGGGGCCACTGGCGCAGCCTCTCCTTCCAGCCTCTCCTTCCAGCCAGGGGCGTGAACGCGAGGTCCAGGATGCTCCGTGCTGCTATCGCTCACCCCGCCCCACATTTGAGACCCTTCCACAGGTTTTGGAGAGGGAAAGGTGGCAAGGGACCCGGCTCGTTGGTGGCTTTCTGTTCCTTTGGCCTCTTTCGCAAGCCCTGAAGGATCCCTTAACCAGGGTCCGCAAGGCCTAAACCCCTCCACCCATGCCAACCACAGTCCTGAGTGGAGGGAGGTGTGTGGGCGGTGAGGGTCTCTGCAGGGCTGCACTCTGACAAAAAAATAAGGGAGGGAACCCCACGCACCGGCCCACCTCGTGCTCTGGCCTGTGGCCGTGGCGAGGGGGACACTTACCATGCCGATGAACTCCATCTCGGTTCGCCGGTCCTGCTGAGTGCGTTTCCTCTGCAGGTAACCCTTCCACACCTGGGGGGGACACAGGGGCCCGGACACTCCCACGCTGCATTTCTGCAGGGACGTGGCTCGTGCCATCAGCTTCCAGGGGGAAGCACCAGCCACTCCCAAGGAAAAGTCTGGTTGGGGAGCTTGGGGGTAGGAGGTGGGTGAAGACTGCTGGGGAGGACACCTCCCAGGGCGGCCCGCAGGCAAGCAGGGGCTGCCCAGAACATGGTGGGGCTGGTGTGCACCCACACAGTCCAGCCCCAAGCTTTTGCTCCCCCGGGGCCCCGAGGAATTCCCTCCTTCTCAGTCCCGCCCTCTAATCTGCCGTGTATCTCTTGACACGGACCTCAAAGGCCACCTTCTCCAGGAAGCACCCCCCGCTCTACCTCTCTGGATTCCCACAGGATTTGGAATACCCCACCACCATGCCATACCCCCCCCACACACCCCCCAAAGGCCACAGCTCCCCACTACCTTCCGCTCTTGCCTCGGTGCCTGCTCTGTAAACCCTCAGGGTGACCTCCACTCCCCTCGGTGCCCACTCTGGACCCTCCCTCCTTCCCGAGAAACCCCCCCCAAGCCTCGGTGTTTCACCCAGGCTTTTTGTCTCTGATCCCTTTGGGCCTCCCGACTCTCCCTTTATCAGGAGGCCTGACCTCTGCACATTGCAAAGCCCACTCTCAGGAAGCCTCACCCCCTTGCCACGAGGGGCCTTCCTTTCCTAAGTCATGAGATTAGCCAGTGCAGATCCATCAGAGCAGAGGCCTCTCTCAAGGGTGGGGCCTGCTCCTCCCTGCCTGTCACACACGCTGGGGGCTGCCCTGTATTCACCCACACTGCCCGGTGCCTCCCATGTACACGGGTAACCTCAACAGATCTGCATAGCAGAGGAGGAGGAAGCCAGTCTGGGCCCCATGATAAGTGGGGAGGCTGGCCAGAAACACGCAATGTGCTGTGGAGGGATGTGGCCCCCAGCCCAGCAGCCTCTGCAGCTCCCAGAGGCTGCAGAGCCTGGGGAGGCGGGAGGAGGCGATGCTCCCACTAGCCCTGTGGCCTCCTCCCTCTGCTGGGGGAGCCCATATGGCGCGGCCTCTCCTTCAGCCTCTCCTTCCAGCCAGGCGTGAGCAGGCGAGGTCAGGATGCTCCGTTAACACTGCTCGCTCACACCGCCCACATTTGAACCCTTCCACAGGCTTTTGGAGAGGGAAAGGTGGCAGGACCCGGCTGATTGTTGGCTTTCTGTTCCTGGCCTCTTCGCCAAGCCCTGAAGGATCCCATAACCAGGTCAGGCCTAAACCCCTCCTGCCAACCACAGTCCTGAGTGGAGAGGGGGGGGGAGTGTGTCAAGCGGTGAGGGTCTCTTCCACAGACTGCACTCTGACAAAAAAAAATAGGGAGGAACCCCACGCTTTTGAC